CAACCCCCCCTACCTGGCACAGGGCTCGCCAGCGGCGGGTGCTCTCAGACTCTGCAGGACCGCAACGTCCATGTGCCAATGCCCACACGGCCACCATCATCTCCAGGTGTGCCCAGTTCTCCCTACGACAGGACCCAGCACACAGGAGAATGGAGGAGGTCCCGCCAGCCCTCTGGTTCGAATCCTGCTTGGGCAGTAAGTGAATCTTCCAGGGGAGTGGAGGGCAGTGGCAGGGCTGTCTCTCCTCATTGGGGCACTGCTCAGGGCAGGTTTCCTCATCACAATGGGGCCTCCTGGAGGAAGGGGTTACGTTGCTCCTCAGGGCTCCTCAGGCCTTCCGAGGCAGGAGCTATTACTTGGCCTCTTCTTCCCCTCCCAGCTCCAGCTCAGGCCTGCACCTGGGGTTGGTGCCTCTGCACTGAGCCCCATGTCTCTAGGCTGGGAAGGGCGCCCCCTGGCTCCAGGTAGGGGGCATCAGGCCAGGCCCTGGCCCTGGGTGAACCCAGATACATGCTGGCAAAGGGCACCTTGAAGCAGGCATGGGCCAGGACCAGCCGGGGTTTGGAGCTGGAGGCATCCTCCCCCTGCAGGCCAAGTGGCGCCAGAGGCTTGTGGAAATTGCTGCTCCTGAGGGTGAGATGGAGCCTGAGCCCAGCAGGGTTGGAGCAGCTCCTGAGCGTGAGGCCACACTCAGCCACAAGCCCTAGACCCCCAGCCAGGGAGGGAGGGGCGGGACTCCGGGCCCTCAACTCTGGCAGGGTGTGGAGTGGCCTCCGCAGCAGAGGGCCTGAGTATCAGACAGCTGCCCCTCGTCACTGGGCACCCTTGAACATGTTGCTTAGGCCGCTAAGCCTGCTCTCCCGTCTGTAAAACGGCCATCACAACTGCCCTCTCTCTCGGAGTGGGCAGTGAGAAGGGATGAGCGTGGGCACCGAGGGCACAAGGCCCAACCCAGTGCAGCACACAGCCCGGTGCAGGACACGGCCGGGTGCAGGACACGGCCTAGTACCTGGTGTAGCACACAGCCCGGTGCCCGGTGCCCAGTGTGGGACACAGCCTGGTGCAGCATGCAGCCGGGTGCAGGACATGGCCCAGTGCAGGACACGGCCAGTGCACAGTAACATGGCCGCTGTGGGCCCGGCCCAGGAGCACGCCTAGTCCTCACGTCGGCCTGGCAAGGCCCTTGGGAAGCAGCCCCACCTTGGGCATAGCCCAGACCCCACCCGACCTCTACATGTGCTCTCCTCTCCTGAACTGCCTTCCCCTCTGCCTCCAAGATCTAGCCTGAGGCCACTCCTCTGGGAAGCTCTCCATGTTGGTCCTCCAGGGGCAAGTCTCATCCTCTCACTCCATGGCACCTGCAACCACTGGAACCGGTTCTTACCACCAGGGCCCAGGCTGGGTATGCAGCGCAGGCCCAGCACAATGGAAGTGCAGTGCAGGACTGTGCTCACCGAATCCCTAGGCTCCAGGATGTACTGTGGCCAACCTTGGTCCCTCCTGGCAGCAGCCAGCCAGCCAGTGGGTCCCAGGCCCCAGGGTCTGGTTTTCTGGACCGAGGGTGAGCTGTGTGGGAGGAGTCAGGCCAGCAAGCGCATCTCACTCCTCTGTCCCCAACCCCACCCTTAGGGCAGCAGCCAATCAGAGCAGATCTGGAAACAAACGGGAGAGCTTGGGCTCAGCCTGCTGGGCTCCCCTCCTGCCTTCCCACCTGCAGCTCACCCTTCCAGTCTGCTCTTCCTCCTGGAAGGTCTCCCTGCAATCCTCCATCCAAAAATCACCAAAGCTACCAGTTTCTGAGTTCCTCCCGCATGCCAGACTTCAGGGTTAAACTCCATATCATACCATCTTATTTCATCCTGGAAAAGGGGGAAAGTGGGACCAGCAGATGGCATAATGGTTACATCACTGGACTCCCGCAGTTGACTATGGTTCAAGTCTCGGACCAGGTGGCTTAAAATTCACGCCAGGCACGTTGCGTGCATACCCAAGATCGTGAGAGAATAGAGAAGAAGGAATTGCGGCATGGCCATCTCTCTTAGGGGGAATTTCTCGCTTTCTGTCTCTCTGTCTCTCTCTCTGATGAGTACATGTGCCCTATAGCAAAAATATCTCAGGAAAAGGGGGGGAGTAGCAATAACATTACTGTTATCCCATTTCACGTGACACACCGGGGAGCTGAGAGCTGAACCTTAACTAGTCTGCTTCTTCCTCGGTGGAGGGGTCCCGCTGCTGTGTCCCCACCACCAGGCATGGGGCTTGTCATAAGAAGGCACAGAAAAGCAGGTTAGAGAAACCAAAGCCTTGGCAGGGTGGCCCTAGGGCAGACAGATGTGGTCCCCTCCATCTTGCCTGTCCTGGCTTCCCAGAGCGGCCCAGACTCCCCACGCCTTGGGGAAGAAGTAACAGAAACAGGCCTCGCTGAGAAGTACCGTTTACTAGGTCCTCTATATGCACCCTCCATCCGGATGGCACGTCCGGAGTTGGAGTCAACAAGACAGTCCTGGGTCCACCAGGCTGCAGCTGTGACCCCACCCGGGGGGGGGTGAGCAGGCAGAATGAGGTAGGTGGGTTGGAGGGGCAGCCATGCAACCCCTCCCTTGAGGCTCCCAGGGACAGCTGCCTTCCACCTCGGGAGATATGCTCCAGGGTGGGCCTGCACGGAGGATTTGGAGGCAGCTGGGCCCAGGGTTCAAGGACTCCCCTAGGCTTCCTCCATGGCCCAGTGCAGGGGCAGGAGCACCATCACTGCTCATGCCTGTCCCTCCTGCATGTGGCCTCTGGAGGTCACTGTCATCCTGGTGTGTCCTGGCACTGGTCAGCTGGGAAGAAGGGGTTCATGCTCCGGGGAGGAGGTGTTGTTCCTGTACACCAGGAACTGGATGGAGATCTGAAGGGGCGGCGTTAAGGTCAAAGCAGGAAGACAGGGTTGGACCCCGCCCTGGGGGAGGACCCAAGCTGCCACCCGCCTGCACACCCACCTGCACACCCCTCTCCCCACTCTGTGGAGGGGAAGAGCCAGCCACCACCTCCAGCCTCTGCTCTCGCTGTGCCCTCCACTCTGATCACCTTCCCCACTGACACCCCAGCCTAACCCTGTCCCCTTCCAAGGCCTCCTGCGCCTTTCTCCCACCCCACAGCATCCTGGCACTCCCCGAGAGAGCGGCCTAGAGCAAGAGCTTCCTCCCTCATCACACCTAGCGGGGTCTCAGCAAATGCTGACACGGGGGCCATGTTTCCTTTCCCAAATGAGACCCCAGTAACATCCTGTTTGGCCATTTCGCAAACGTTTGCTGAGCACTCACTGAGTGCTGGGTCGTGTGGGATGTGTTTCCAGATGGAGGGATGGAGGAAGGATGGAGGATGGACGGAGGATGGATGGAGGAGGGAGAGATGGAAGATGGATGCGTGTATGGGAGGATGGAGGATGCACATAGAGGATGGAAGATGGATGGATGGATGGAAAATGGAGGATGGATGGATGGATGGGAGGACGGATGGATGGAGGATGGATGGATGGAGGATGGATAGATGGAGAATGGAGGATGGATGGATGGGAGGATGGATAGATGGAGAATGGAGGATGGATGGATGGATAGATGGAGAATGGAGGATGGATGGATGGAAGATGGATGGATGGAGAATGGAGGATGGGTGGATGGGAGGATGGAGGATGGATGGATGGAGGATGGATAGATGGAGAATGGAGGATGGATGGATGGATAGATGGAGAATGGAGGATGGATGGATGGATAGATGGAGAATGGAGGATGGATGGATGGAAGATGGATAGATGGAGAATGGAGGATGGATGGATGGGAGAATGGATAGATGGAGAATGGAGGATGGATGGATGGATGGATGGAGAATGGAGGATGGATGGATGGGAGGATGGATAGATGGATGAGTAGATAGATGGAAATGGATGTAAGGTGAATAGATGAAGAATTGAGGATGGATGGATGGATTGGTGGAGTATGGATAGACAGATGGAGGGATGATGGATGGATAGATGGAGGGATGATGGATGGATAGACAGATGGAGGGGTGATGAAGGGCTGGGTAGATAGATGGAGGACAGACAGATGGAGGATGGATACATGGAGGACGGATACATGGAGGACGGATACATGGAGGACAACCGGAGGGAGGACGGCTAGACGGGTGGATGGAGGACGGATGACAGATGGGTGGCGGACGCTGAAGCCGTGTGCAGGCAGAGGCTGCCCCGCCCACCCACCGCCCCGCACTCCCTGAAGGATACAATGGTGTCCAGCAGCAGCACGCCCAGGCTGCCCACGAGCCAGGGCAGGTGGTGTAGCAGGTAGCTGCCCTCGCTCTGGCCCACTTCGGGGTTCTTGAGCAGCACACTCAGCCCGTACAGCGTGTTCCCCAGCATCACCAACCCGAACAGTGAGTAAGAGACCCCCTGGGTTGACTTCCTGAGGAACTGGAGGTGAGGGCGCAGGGACAGAGATCTCACACAGGGCTCTTGTCGCTCTGGATCGTAACTGTCTGTGTGTCTGTCTGCCCATCACAGCACACATACTCGAAGCCCTTTTTTCACTGTGTGTCCATCATGGCCACAGACCAGCCCTTCCAGGACCTGACTCCTGCTCCCCACAGCCTCTCTGGGCCCTCTGCTTGGGTCTACAGGAGACCATGGCCTGCTGGCCCCACGAAGCCTGCTCCCTACCCCTATACTCGTTGCCCATCCTGGATCCCCACCTTCTCCTCCCCTCACAGGCCGCTAAGCTCAGCCCCTCGCTCTCAACTGGCCTCCGAGTTTCCTGAGATCAACGTCAGTGTGCCCACTTTCCAGAGGCAGAAACAGGCTCGGAGAGCTGAATTAACTCGGCTGGATGGAGAGGGAGGGAGGCTAGGTGGATGAATGGAGGGTGGTCCCAGCCCTTCTGAACACAGACCCCCCACCCAGCCCTACTCCAGGCTCACGTTGGTGCGGATCTGAGGTAGCCGGGACAGCAGGTACAGCACGCTGGAGACGGAGCCGATGACGAAGCCAATGATCTCCTGCCGAGTGAAGGGCTGCAGGGTGGAGGGCTGCTCAGGGTCCGCGGGGACCGTGGTGCAGGGAGCCCTCTAGGAGCGCCCTCTCCCCACCTCACTGAGCACCCACTGAGCACGGGAGAGCCAGGGTCCAGCTAGCCTCCACCCTGTTCTACCACCACCACCACGTACCCACACCTCACCTTGCTGCCCGGCTGCACAGATAGGAGCGTCCGTCCCCGGAAGACCTCCCTCGGTACAGCCCCGGGGTCAGCGCTGCGCAGCAGGGGCATGGCACACGCCGTCCCCAGGACGAACAAGAGCGCAGTATTGATGGGGGCAGACACTGCACTCGAGGAGGGAAGCCAAGGTTAGGAGTGTAGTGGCAGCAGAGGGTCCAGGACCTGAGTCCTGGCCTTGCCCTCAGTGGTGGTGTGATCTGGGTGAGCGACTGAACCTCCCCAAGCCCCGACTCCTCGTCTGTAGGATGAGTGCGATGGCAGCGCCCTGTTCCTGGGGCTGTCCGACTGAGCCAGTGAGGGCCATGAGTTCTAAGGCGTCTCCAATAGCCTTCGGGCTGTCCTCGTCTGTGGCCCTGTCTGAATCCTCGAGAACAAGTGGGCCCGTGCAACTTCTCTCTGTTTCCCCAGCTCCGCACCCAGGACTGGACACAGAGGAGCGGAGGCCGTGCAGCTGAATGAGAATGTGGGCGAATGCACATTTGACGACTGCAGTGAGCTGTATGGGCCCAGCTGGGGACTACTTTATAGTATGTTCATTCTACTCACTGGGGTTTATGCCTAGGGTCAGACTTGGGTTCATGTATAGGTACGTGTCAGCTGTGCTAGCTATTGGATATATTTAGACTAATTAAGTTCATTGGCAGATTAATTGAATGGGGGGGGGCATGGAGGGCAACAGTGAATGCCAGGGACAATGGGGGAGGAGGATGGGACATAGCAGAGGGTGGGGGATGGGGAATCAAGGATGGCAAAACAAAAGGCAAGGTATGCAGGATGTAAGAATTGGAAAATTATTTGCTGAGAACATGTATGTTGATGTGCTTGATTGAGCCAATGCACAGTGTATTTTGGATGGAAAATTCATTTGTGTGTTGTGATGGTGTATAGTGAATTAATGTAGAGAATGAATAAATTAAAAAAAAAAAAGAATGTGGGCGAGTGGAACCTTCCTGTGGTCTGGGGCAGGAAGTGCTTGCTGCCCTCAAGCCCCTATCTTGGCCGATGAAGACTCAAGCTGTGTGATAAGGCCCTAGCAAGCCTTTCTGAGATTCTTTATCATCCAGCCCTGGGAATCTGCTTCTCCACGCTCCGGGCCTCCAGAGCCGACGGCACGCTGTACTCACACAGCGAGGGGCGTCTCTTGAACTTGTAGTGGAAGTACAACGACAGCATCAGCAGGTCCGCCAGGACGTAATACACAGCCGTGTAGGTCTGCAAGAGACGCAGCGCTGGCCGTTGGCCATGGTCCAGCCGGACCAGCACTCTGCCCCCTCCCGGCTGGGTGCCCCTGACTGAGTCACTCCACCTCTCTGAGCCTGTGTTTCTTTAGTTCCTTGGAAAGGAGGGGGTCACCACTTGGCAGAATTAGAGGCCAGGTGGGCAAGTGTCCAGCCTGGCAGGGGCCGATGGCTTGTCAGCTACAGCTACTCGCCAAGACACAACGGGACTCCGTGGTTACATGCTGGCTTTGAAGCAGTGGAGACTTCATGTCCCACTTGGTAAGACAATGCCTTCCTGATGACCCTCAGCTCTGCTGGCCATGGGAGAACACTCTCTTCGAGGTCCCCAGGCCTGGGAGCTTCCTCAGGATCACAGCACCTCAGGTGAGAGAGGTCAGCGACTGTTCAGCTTGACGTTCTCACATTGCAAACGGGGACGCTAAAGCAGGGACTTGCCCACTGTTATCGCCTCAGCAGGCAGAAGGCTCTCTAGAGCATGGGGCCTGCACAAGATGGGAGGACGCGCCAGTACTTGGAGACCACGCTGGCCAACAAGCCCAGGCTTCTCCTCCATAGCTGTCCTCAGCCGTCCCACCTGCCCAGGGAGTGGCCCACCTGCAGGGGCAGCTGGTCAGCAAGGAAGGAGCCGATGAGGTTGCAGGAGTCTCCTCCAATCCAGCCCAGAAGGAACCACAGGGACAGGGCCTGGTCCATGTTGCCCGTCTTGCAGGCCTTGATGTACTGGCTGTGGAGAGGAGGGGGCGCAGGCTCAACAAAGGGAACGCCCCTGACAAGGTGGCCCCAGAACAGGGACGCGGGGAGTGCGGTGGACGGCAGCAGACCTGGGAGCCCATCCGTTCTGCAGGCGGCATCCTCATAGCCTCCCTCTGCCCTTCGGGGTGATCTCCCCAGGGGATCGCTTCCAGCCTGGGGCTCTACGGCTGAGCGTCTTCCCAGAGACCCACCCTTGGGTCTCCACGGGGGATGTGGGTTTTTCTGAGACCCTGAGGTTTGGTGCCAGGCTGTGAGAACCACTTCCTAGGCACTGGGCGTTCCTTCTTCCATGGACCGGGGCGGGGGCAGAGGTTGCTGAAAGGGTGGAGGCGGCCCACAGCCGAAGCACTGCCGTATCTGCACACTGGCTGGTCAGGAGGCAGGCCAAACCACAGCCTGGGTATCTCCAGAGGCAGCAGGGCAGGCGGGCGGAGGCTCCTAGAATTCTCCGCTTTAAAAGGCTGGGCTCTGGGTCCCTTGCTGTTTTCCCAAAGGTTCCTGGTGCTGGGACCCTCTCTGTGGACCTCTGGCCAGTGGCGGGACGAA